AATAAAAATATTTTCTATTAGATTTATATACAGCACCAAATAATTTTTAATTACTAACGATTAATGAAATAGCACCTTGATGTAGCGTGGTTGAAACGAATTGTATCAAAATACACAGTATAAAAATAACCTCAAAATATCTCAAATAATTATTAAAATTTTCAATAATGTTAGAACGAAAAGATCCAGAAGGAAATATATACGTTTTCGTAAGTAATTCATTGTGAATTACATTGTGAATTACGTAATTCATGTGAATATCATTTTAATTTTTATAATATTATTTTATATCTTTATCTTTTATGTAATTTTTTTAAATAGAATGAGGAAGATTTACCGTACGAAGAAGAAATTTTAAGAAATCCATATTCTGTAAAACATTGGCAACGTTATATAGATCACTTAAAAAGTACAAAAAGTAATAATTTAAATATTGTATATGAACGAGCATTGAAAGAACTTCCTGGAAGGTAAAATATAAAATTATATCTTTTTTGTTTCTTTTTATCAGATAAATTTTTATAAAATATTCATTTTTATTTATTTTTACTTTATCAAATTTTCATTTTTATATGTTAGTTACAAATTATGGTATAATTATCTTCGTCAACGTATCAATCAATTGAAAGGAAGATGTATAACTGATCTTCTTTATGAAGATGTAAATAATGCATTTGAACGTGCTTTAGTTTTCATGCATAAAATGCCTAGAATTTGGATGGATTATTGTACATTAATGACAGAACAATGTTATATTACACGTACTCGTCAAGTTTTTGATAGAGCACTTAGAGCTCTTCCTATTACACAGCATCATCGTATATGGCCATTGTACATTGAATTTTTGAAAAAACACAATGTATATGAAACTGCAGTCAGAGTTTTTAGACGATATTTAAAGGTAAAATAGAATATTCTTATTTGTTATGATTTGTATTTGATAATATAAAATATATTTCTAGTTAGCTCCAGAAGACACAGAAGAATATATAGAATACTTGAGATCAATTGGAAGGCTTGATGAAGCAGCTGTAAAACTTGCACAAATTGTTAATCAAGATGATTTTATATCAAAGCATGGAAAATCTAATCATCAATTATGGAATGAATTGTGTGATTTAATATCAAAGAATCCTTCTAAAATAAAATCTCTTAATGTGGATGCTATTATTAGAGGTGGATTAAGACGTTATACTGATCAATTAGGTCCTTTGTGGAATTCTTTAGCAGATTATTATGTTCGTAGCGGTTTATTTGAAAGGGTATTAAATCTTTTATTTATATTAAAATGTAATTTATTAAGTTTAATCATATAACTTCATATTTTCACTTAAAATAGGCAAGAGATATTTATGAAGAAGCAATACAAACAGTAACTACTGTTAGAGATTTTACTCAAGTATTTGATGCCTATGCACAATTTGAAGAACTTAGTCTTAGTAAACGTATGGAAGAAGCTGCAAAAAATCCTACTGAAGATGGTATTGGAGATATATTTTTATTTTTAATATTCATATATTTTTTATTATATATATTGCAGTAAAAGTATCAATTCAATAAATGTTATTTACTATTCAATATATATACTATCAATTTATGAAATAAATGTATTTTAAAATCTATTAAATATAAACTAATAAATGCAGATATTTTTATATCTAATTTAATAAAAATATATACGATAAAACTATATATTTGTGTGCATAGATATATTGCATATATTTTCTAATTAATTTGTATAATATATATAATGATATAATTATAACGATTATTCGAACGATTAAAAAAAATAATAATTATTGTTGATATTATGAACCATCTATGGTTATCAAAAAAAATCTAAATAATTTTAAAATATATTTAATGGATTTATTAAATTTATACATTGTACTTTATAGATTTTTAAATTTATACATTGTTTAGTAAATATATATTATTATTAAGAATTGTATTGAATTGATATTTTCACTAAAATCTTAAGTATATATACACTATATAATAAATATATGTATTTACTATGCTTCAAGCTTTTATTGCAATAAAAATATATATATAGTTTATAATTTTATATTTTTCTATCATCTATTTATAGATGATATTGATTTGGAATTGAGATTAGCACGGTTTGAACATTTAATGGAAAGACGTTTATTACTTTTGAATTCTGTATTACTCAGACAAAATCCTCATAATGTACAAGAATGGCATAAAAGAGTTAGACTTTATGAAGGACAACCACACGAAGTATAAAATATTTTTATTAAAATTTTTAGCAAAAAATATTTTATAATTTTACTATTATGATTATCAATTTTTTTTTTTTAGATCATTAATACATATACAGAAGCTGTACAAACTGTGCAACCACAATTAGCAGTAGGTAAATTACATACTTTATGGGTTGAGTTTGGTAAATTTTATGAAGAAAATAATCAAATAGCAGATGCTAGAGTAGTTTTTGAAAAAGCAACTCATGTTCCTTATACTAAAGTAGACGATCTCGCTTCTGTATGGTGTGAATGGGCAGAAATGGAAATTAGGCATGGGTATGTTATTTTTTTGTAAAATAATTTTTTCTAAACATATCAATATTTTATAATTAATATAACAATATATTTTATTTATACAGAAATTATAAAGAAGCATTAAAACTTATGCATCGCGCGACAGCTATGCCATTTCGCAAAGTAGCTTATCATGACGAGACAGAAACAGTTCAAATGAGATTATACAAATCTTTAAAAGTTTGGTCTATGTATGCTGATTTAGAAGAAAGTTTTGGAACATTTAAAGTATATTAATTTATTTTCTAAAATTATGCTTTTTAAATATTATTTATGAAATTTTGTAATTTTTAATATTTTTAATATTTTTAATATTTTTTTTACAGACATGCAAAGCTGTATATGACAAAATTATAGATCTAAAAATTGCAACACCACAAATCATTATTAATTATGGTCTTTTTTTGGAAGAAAATAAATATTTTGAAGAAGCTTTTAGAGTATATAATGGATGATATTAGAATATTATTGAAACTTTAATTTTCATTTTTTTTCTTCATTAATAATTTAATTATTCTTTTTAGGCTTATGAAAAAGGTATTGCACTCTTTAAATGGCCTAATGTTTATGATATATGGAATACATATCTTACAAAATTTTTAAAGCGTTATGGTGGAACAAAATTAGAACGAACGCGAGATTTATTTGAACAATGTTTAGAATTTTGTCCACCAAAATATGCTAAAGGTATTTTTAAATAATATTTAATTATATGTATTATAAAAAATAATGTTTTCTTTTTTTATTTAATTTTTTCTTGTTGCAGCTTTATATTTACTGTATGCAAAATTAGAAGAAGAACATGGTTTAGCTAGACATGCGATGTCTGTATATGAACGAGCAACAAATGCTGTTCTTCCCGAAGAAAGATTTGAGGTAAAAAATATAATAATATTGATTTCACATGTATTTAAATATATCAATTATATTATTATTAATATATATAGTAAATCTCATCCCAAAATTTTTTGATTCTAAATGGTTCCTGGATTATTTGATTTAAAATAAAGATCATGTTGATATCTGCAAAAATTTCAGAGAAAATAGTTTATAATTTTATTCACTTATATAAGATACATGTTTACCGATAATATAATATAATATATATATATATATATTAAGAATATGGATTTTTAATTTTGAAACATGTTACATGTATCCCTATATTTTAATATTTAATGTTCAAAATCAAGACACAATAAAAAAAAATGTTTATACAAATCTATATTTAATAAAAATTTAATATGCATTTTTACAGATGTTCAATATATATATAAAAAAAGCAGCAGATATATATGGTGTACCAAAAACAAGACAGATATATGAAAAAGCTATTGAAGTACTTAATGAAGATAATACAAGAGAAATGTGTTTAAGGTTTGCAGAAATGGAAACAAAATTAGGAGAAGTTGATAGAGCTCGGGCAATATATGCCCACTGCAGTCAAATTTGTGATCCAAGAGTATAAAATATTATTTAATTGAATGATATAATAATAATATTGAAATTAATATTATATTCATATATATTTTTTTATTTTATTTAGGTAGCATCAAATTTTTGGCAAATATGGAAAGAATTTGAAGTAAGACATGGTAATGAAGATACTATGCGTGAAATGCTTCGAATTAAACGTAGTGTACAAGCTATGTACAATACTCAAGTAAATATGATGTCTGCACAAATGTTGAATAATACATCGAATTCACTATCAGATGTACCAGCAGATGCAATGCGTCTTTTGGATAGTAAAACACAAGGTATAGATTTTACATAGATTTTAATTTTATTATTAATTATTATTATTATATATATTCAATTTTAATAAATTTTAATAAATTTTGTAGATAATATTACTACATATAAGGATAGTATTAAATTTGTTCGTGGTGTAACAGAAAAAGACGGTAAACCGGAATCTCAAGTAAATAATCCGGATGAAATAGATATTGATATTAATGATGTTAATGAAGGAGATATAGAAGAAGGTAATATAGAACATACAATATATAACACATTAAAATTTTTATTACTCTTTATCACGTGTAATATGTTTACAAATTGCTTTAAAGAACTTTAATTGCGACACATATATTTGATATTCTATTTTTGTATGTGTTTTTCGTTTCAGATATACCTATTGAAAAACAAACTATTCCGTCACAAGTGTTCAGTAGTTTAAAAACAACTGATGATGAAGATGATTAACATATAAATTATACCATTTGGAAAATATGTAAATAATAAAACTTGCAATGAAATGATAAGATTTTATAATTGATATACATTGTTTGTACAACTATAATAATTATTTCTGGTCAAAAAATTAACTTTTCTAGATGATTTTTTTTTTTGACAAAAATAAAATTAATACTTTAAAATTATTTATCATAAAATTTTCTCACAATTTTTTAATATCACTTTTTTACTTTCCAGTTAAATTAATTTTTAGTAAATAATTTATAATAGAATCAAATCAAGGCTAACAAAATTAAACTATTCTTAATTAAACATAGAAATGTATTATTTGTTGCTACAAGATATTAAATAACATATCTTGGTGGGTTTATAAAATGGAGATCATTATAAACTTCAGGCTCATCCATATCAGGATGATTTTGTATAGATGCTTGTTCTTTGCCAATACCTCCAAATACTATTAATTCACCGCGACCAGCTACAAGCGAATAAAGTATTCTTTCATTGGGACCCGATTGATCATTATGTTTTAAAGGAATCCACGAAGCACTACATTCTTCGCATAAGACATTCGTAATGTCTAACACAAATATGGACAAAGTATTTTTTGTCTTTTTTGCAGGCTTCGATTGTGTTCTTCGATTTCTAATACTCTCTTCCATTCTACGAAGAGATTCTAATTGTCGTTGTCGATGACTATTAATATCATAACGCACTGGTTCATTACGAAAAGCCGTCATACTTAACATATTATCATAACATAATGTTAAATTCTTTGTAAAATTAGGAGGATGATGCGGAGGGCGTGGATTTTGTATAGATATTTCGGAAAACGACCCATGTCGTCCATTAATGTTTACATCTCTATCAATATGAGATACGCTTCCTTGTCTAAAAATAATTTATAACTGTAGATTTAAAGTTAACTTCACATATAAATAAGTATTAACAATAAACTTAAATAATCAAACCTTCCATGTAATGGAGATGAATTATTTGTTCTCGTTGAAGATGCTGCTTGACAAGTGACCTTTTTGAGCGATATACTCATATCATTTGGCTTATTTTGACATTTATTAATGCTAAGAACAATAATATGATTTCCCACCTATCAAATAAAAAATATTTTGAATACAAAATATTATAAATTGTATTATAATCAACAAATTATTACCTTACAAGCTTGATGACACCAAATGCGTGTTGGAGCCCATTCTGTATTGTGCATATTTACTTTTTTCCATGTCCATACTGCACCTTCCATTTTTAGTAACCAGGCATCATTCATAGCAACATTAGGTCCAGTGCAGCCTCCTTTAAATATTTATATTCATATTAATATATTAAAATATTTATAATAAAATCAAAAAAGTTTTTATGGTATATTTTTAAATTATCTTACCTAACACAAGAAGATGCTTGTCTCCAAGCTCTATTTGAGATTGACCATAACGTGGTTGTGGTTTTAAATTTGAAGTAGGTTGCTTATGCCAACTATAGGAATCCAGATTCAAACACCATATGTCATTGGATCTGTCTCAAAATAGTACTGCATTGTTATTAAATTAAATTAAATAGTTTATTAAATGACATTCAACAACTTCTGGTATATACCTATATCCATTGCATATACCACCAAAAACAATCATATAATTTTTATGAATTGAAGCAGAATGTGCTGAAGTGGGTGGAGGTGTTTCCAACGTATTTATAGCAATCCATTTATTGGATTCTATAGAATATACATGTAATTCATTGAATAATTTTGATTGCTAAAAATATATATATAACAATAATATTAAATATTAAATATTTTCTTATATAATCAATTTTATTTATTATATTTTTATAATTTTTTAATCAAATATACCTGATGTACAGAGTATAATGCTGGATGAGACCATCCTCCAAATAAAATGAAACTTTTTTTATAATATAACATAGTAGCACAAGCTTTAGGAGATGGATATGTTCCCATTGTGATTAATCTGATCCATTTTCGTGTATCCAAATCCAATCTCCATAAATCATTGAATGTTGTACATGTTGCAGTACATCCACCAAATACATACATGGAATTTTCATATGTACAAGCAGAATGCGAATGTCTTTTTGCAATAGTAGGCATCCAATGCTTGGATGGCCATGGACTCCAAAGCAATGATCCATAAGCCACAGACTTATGAAAATGTGCTTTATTATGTTGTATTACATCTATAATAAAAATAAAAGTTTTATTGATTTTTAAAAATAAATTAATAATTAAAAGATAGATATAGATATACTTTTAGAACAAAAAAAAATTTACATACTTTTGGTAGCACGGAACCATCTTTTGGATACAAGTTTACATTCCTGAAGATTTTTATATGGTGGAATTAAACTTAAAATGTATTCTAATACAACATCTGGTAAATCATCAATATTACACTCCATTCTGCATTAAATGCTTATTAAAAACGTTTTACTAATAATCTTTTATTTTATGTCTAATTTTTTAAATATTCAAGCCAAATTGAAAGTATTATTATCTCAAAGAATCGAAAATCATGTTTTTTTTTATTACTTTCTGGCGATTCCGCAAATTAAAGAGATTCCCACCTGAAAATTAAGAGAATTTTCTATGCGACAAATTCGATACGTCCACATAGCATAATAGATATTTATGCTCCTATTATGCATTTTACTTAACTATTTTATAAATTACAAATTATACAGGGTAAGTACTACCATTTTCATAAATAAAGGTAACCTAAGAATGAAAATCATATATGTATAACTGCGATATAATATAGATAGATAGATCTTTACATGTTGGCTATCATGAAGTAATACTTATTTGACAGTAACTAAAATATATTCAAATCACGTTAATTTCATTTTTTTGTTAATTTCTTAAGAGGTATTTCCCTTATGTATTCATATTTGTTTATGAAAAAAATATTTTTATATAACATAACTGGAAAAAAGTTATAATTTTGATTAACTTCAGATTTTTCTTAATTATCTTTCGATTTCAAAAACACTATTATTGTATAACCGACTTCTAATTTCAAGATAAATATATTTCTGTATCAATTTTTTCTTATTTAATAAATATATTTAATATAAGAATAAAAAATAATATAGAAAATACCATTTTAATTTTAAATTTTATACATAAATAAATAAATTTTTATATATAAATAAGAATTACATTTACAGCATTTCTGTATGTATGCGTTTTATATATCTATCAATCTATCATTATTCTAAATAAGAATGATATTTACATCGATCTTATTATTGCTTATTTGTCAAGAAAGCAAAAATATTGAAATAAATCCATCAAAAACAATATTTTGGGGGCCAGGATTGAAACCAGATAAAATAACAATGCGAGCAAGATATATTTTTTTACAATTTGTCGATTTAAAAGGAAAAAAGTATGTTTTTTCTTTTTACTACTTTTTAAGTTATCTATATCTTAAAAAATATATAAATATATTAATTATATTAAATATATTATTAATTTAGCTAATTGAAATTAATTAGCTCAAGTTTATATTTTTTTAAATAATTATATTTCATTCAAAATTAATAATAATATATATATAATTTTTTATTAATTTAAGAATTTTTAAGTTTAACAGAATCACCTGGAAAAGATATAATATCTGTTTTTATACAAGGACAAACTTCAATAGGATATACATGTCATATATGGACACAAATTTTAGATTGTAAGGATGGAAGTTTTATTGTTAGATATAAGTTACATAATACATGCTTCAATTTAAAATTGAAAATAAAAATGAAACATAATAATTTACCTATTTTATCAATAGAATTTAAAGGTACTTAGTTAAAGTTATTATAAATTTATTATAAGTTTCTTCATTAATTTTTGTATGATTTAATTAATTTAATGAAAATTTTTTTAGGACCTATTTATGAAGAAGAATGTTATTGTCCAAATCCTTCTATTAATAATTGGTTAAGCGATTTAGGATGTTTAAAGAATTACAAACAAATACACAATGATCTTATTTCTTTCACAAATGTAAATTTTGATAAAATACGTAAAAATATTATCAAAGCATATGATCGACCAGGAAGTGTTAGTTTATGTCACTATATAGTTCAATCTAACAAAGTAAGTAATACTGCAACTTGTAATTTGAAATTGATTTAAAATTATATTTGAATTAAACTGGATGAAATAAGATTTTTAGGGAATGTTATGGACGATATGTAGGCTTCAAAATATTTATGGATTCTATTCTTTTATCTATTACTCGTAAAGTTTTATTACCAGACATTGAATTTTTTGTAAATTTGGGAGATTGGCCACTTGTTCCAAAAGAGGGTAAAAATTATCCTATATTTTCTTGGTGTGGTTCTTTTGATACAAAAGACATTGTTATGCCAACCTATGATATCACAGAATCATCATTGGAAGCAATGGAAAGGTATAAATTTATTAATCATATTTCAAATAAATAAATAATTATTTTAATTCATATAATTTTAATAAAAATATTAAATATTTTTATAATTGCTATTATTATAAAATAATATTATATTTTACAGGGTAATGTTAGATATGCTATCTGTACAAGGTAGTACAGATACACCATGGAAAGAAAAAATAGAGAAAGTATTTTGGCGTGGTCGAGATTCCCGCAGAGAACGACTTGATTTAATCGATATTTCGAAAAAATATCCTGATTTATTCAATGTTTCAATTACTAATTTTTTTTTCTTTAAAGATGAAAAGGATAAATATGGTCCTGGGCAAAGTCATATATCTTTCTTTAATTTTTTTAAAGTAAGAATAAATAAATTCATATATCATGTAATTTAATTATAAATTGAAAAATTGAAAAATATTAATATTTGTACAGTACAAGTATCAATTAAATATAGATGGTACAGTAGCAGCATATAGATTTCCATATTTACTTGCTGGAGATTCTTTAGTATTAAAACAAGATTCAAGATACTATGAATTTTTTTACAATGATCTCATACCTGGAGAACATTATATATCTGTTAAAAGTGATTTATCAAATCTTATTGAAAAAATTATGTGGGCTAAAGAACATGACCAAGAAGCATTACAAATTGTTAAATCTGCTAGAAAATTTGCAAGAGATAATTTATTACCACATAATATATTATGCTATCATGTAGCTTTGTTTCATGTAAGAAATTTCGATTAAAATTATATATATAGATTCAACTTTATTTATTTTTTTCTTAAATATATATATATATATATTAGAATAACATGTTTTTTTTATATTTCAGGAATGGAGTAAACGCTTAAAGAGTAAAATTGAAGTTTTACATAACATGGAAGAAGTGCTGCAACCGAAACATTCTTGTAAATGTTACAACGCCGATGTTACGAAAATTAAAGAGGAATTATAATATGTTGATTCAATTCTTAATAATATAATTTATATTTTATATTCGATTTTGTGTGAATAAGTAATCTATATTTTTATATGCTTTTTGTAAATATAACAAATATTTGCAATAAATTATAATAAAAGAGAAAAGATGAATTTGATAGCATAAAATATTCATATTATTACAATGTTAAAAGATTCTATTTTAGGTTCTATAAATTTACTTGAAAATATGTTATTTTATAAAAATCTTTTCTATTTTAATTATCTAAATTTATTTAAATAATATATTATATTAATAAAAACAAAAAAAAATATACACAAAAATTCTGTGAATAATAAAAAATAATTATACATGAAATTAAACAAAAATAATATATTAAAAATATATATGGAAATTTTTTGCTATCAAAATGAGAATTCTTTTTCATGTATATAAAAATGATAAGAATTCTTCAAGAAAAAAATGAGAATCATTATATAGATTCAAAACTTTTTAATGATAATTAATTAAAAATTAAAACTAGTTAAGTAAATAAAAATTTAATAATTTTAAAACAAATGTGTATAATGAAAATTGTAAATAGGAAGTACATATTGTACTATATTTCATACATTTTATCTTGGTGTGATAGATATGATTATATTATTTTATACACACCAAAATTTTCAAATTACATACATTCCTAAGCAATATATTTTATATTTAAATACCAAAATTAAATAATAAGATTAATAATGCTTCAAACTTATAATATAAATATATGAAATCAAATTTTTGATGTCACATCAAAAAATTTATAACAATAATTTGATAAATAATATATTTTTCGAATGTTTTTAATAAAATGAAATTTTAAAAATTTAATGTTTAAAGTTTTTTGAAATTAAAATCCTTAAATATATATAATTTGCAATATTTATACATTTTTTTCTGTATATTGAAATATATTTTATAATATTAAATTATATCATTTAAAAAAAATCGAAAGTATAATTTCGAATTATTACAAACTTAATGAAATTTTAGCAGCACCTTTCCTTAGTAATATATATTTTCTATTGTTTCATTATATAACATTGGACGATATGCTATTAAGAATTAAATTAAAATTTTATATACCACTTGTTTTCAATTTGTAGTTAAATCATTTTTATATTAGAATGAATATCGCTCGAATTTACATTAATGTATATTCTATTGTGGAGGTGGTTGATATCCATAACCTCCATATTGATTTGGTGGAGGAGGTCCTTGAGGTCCAGGGGGAGGAGGCATATGTCCACCAGGTGGTCGCGGTGGATATTGAGGATATCCTTGTCCTGCTGGTGGTGGTGGATAACTCTGAGGATATTGTGGATGTCCATAATGTTGGCCAGCTTGAGGCGGATGAGGAGTATATACCTATAATTTAATATATTTTTTATCATATAAATTTCTATATTAATAATAATTAAAAAATAATTAAATAATTTAATATTTTTAACTTATTTTAATACCTGTGGCTGTCCCCCTGGTGTTGGTGGTACATATGTCTGTGTAGTAGCAGGACCATATCCAGGTTGTGGTCCTGCTCCTGGAGGTGGAGCAGGACCTTGAGGAGGTCCTGAAGGTGGTTGAAATCCACTAGGAGCAGGACTTTGAGATTGTTGTTGTTGAGATTGTGGTGGTGTCTGAGATTGTTGTTGAGATTGTTGTGGTTGATGTGGTGCCTGATGTGCAGGAGGTTGATGAGTTGATTGATGAGAGGGTTGATGTGGTGGTTGATGAGGAGCATGAGGAGGCTGATGTGGAGATTGATGTGGTGGCTGATGTGGTGGATGTGATGATGGATGAGGTGTTTGATGTACAGGATATCCAGATGGAGTAGGACCTGGAGGAGCATAATTTCCACCTTGTGAAGTAGGTGGTGGGGCACTATTTGGTGGATAAGTTTGAGTCGAAGCAGATGGTGTACTAGTTGGTTGGCTACTCTGAGCATAGGTGTTTACTCCACTAGCAGAAGCAGTACTGAATGGTGGAGATGTAGAAGCTGGACCATATTGTGTTG